GAGAAGCAGCGCGTCGGTGCGAGCCCGGGATCCCAACCCGGGTCGCCAGCAGTGGAGCGCGCTCACTTAACCACCAAGCCACGGGGCCGGCCCAGGGGGCCACACTTTGAGAACCACCGAGTTAGGGGATGTATCATCAGAGAGCTGGGGGAGGACAACATAATTCTTGCGGAAAGTACTGTGGACATTATACAACTACGAATCAAGATGTCCGGTGTCTCCAGGATCTAGCCTCATATTTTTATTTCTTGTTTGTACCTTAGTTGTTTACTTCTCCATCTGCTTCCTTACCCTCCTCCTACCAGAGAAACCCTAAAAACGGGGTTTGTCTCTAAAATCACCTTCCCTGGACCCTGCTTCTCTTTCTTATCAAACATTTTGGCAAGTTAGTCTATATTAGTTGACTTATTTTCCCTAGCAATCTGACCTCTGCCCCTTGCCCCTCCCAACTTCATGGAAAATTACTTTCTCAGAGTTCTTTCCACAAATTATTGCCAAATCCAGTGATTCTTTCATTCTTCACCTTCCTTGCCTCCTCTGAGCATTTAGGGTGTTCCCCATCTTAGAACTTCACCCCACTTGTCCTGGTTACCTCGCGATACTCCTTTGTATTTGCTGGCTCCTCTTTTCTGTACTCACACCTCTTCTTTCCTCATGCTTTCTTACATGGTAGTCTCATACATTCCCAGGGATTTAACTTGTATCTCCCTTTAAAAGAGTTCCAGGGGCCGGCCTCCTGGCGTAGTGGCTAGGTTCGCTCTGCTTCGGTTCACGAGTTTGGAACCCCAGGAGCGGATCTCCACACCGCTCTTTAAGCCATGCTGTGGTGGCATCCCATGTACAAAATAGAGGAAGATGGGCACAGATGTTATCTCAGGGCTGATCTTCCTCAAGCAAAAAGAGGAAGATTGGCAATAGGTGTTAGCTCAGGGCCAATCTTTCTCATGAAAAAAAAAAAGAGTTCCAAATTCATCTATTGAATCGTTAAACAGATATTTGTTGAGTCCAGGCTCTGTGCACTTCCAGGCTGAGGGATCAACAGGGGGAAGGTCCTGAGGTAGGAACCCCTCCTCCCCCACCCCCCTGTTGGAAGAACTGGAGCCTGGTGGGAGCTCATCAGGCAGTGCGGCCCAAGGGAGGAGAAAGAGTCAGATCTCTAAATCCAGTCCCATCGTTTCTCCCAGGCCTCCAATCCACACTGTCGGGTACCTCTACTGGAATGCCCAAGAAACACTTAGTACTAGTGATTATTCCCACAAAACTGTTTTTCTCCCTTCTAAGGTTCTGTAAAACGTGTTTCACTAATAAAAATAATAGCTACTTTAATATAACAGGTATATGTGTCATACATTCTTCTAAACACTTTATATATTAACCTCATTTAATCCTCAAAACTACCATACAATCTAGAAACTATTATTAGCCCCATTTCATAGATGGGAAAACTGAGGCATAGAGAGGTGAAATAACTTGCCCCAGGTCATAAAGCTAGTAAATGGAAGAGCTCAATTCAAACCCAAGCAGTCTGGCTCCATGAGTATAATATCCTGCCTTGCCACCAAGATCTTATTTATTTACTTATCCATTCAACAAATATTTATTGAACTAGAGACCATTAGAGATACAGAGGTGACAAGTTAGACATGTGCCCTCGCAAAGCTTATCTTCTATGTTTGACACATTTCTAAATTCCGTCATCTTTTTCCAGTATCATCTTGATTTAGGCCTCTACTACCCCTAATTAATTGGGACTTGTGCAATAACTTCCTAACTGTGGTATCCCATTCTCCATACTTCCAGAGTAATCTTCTCAAATGCAGCCTGAATCATTTCTCCTGACTGTTTAAATGCCTTGGTTTGTACTCGAGACCAGTGTTTTTCACCTTTACTTCCCATCACGTGGGTGGTTCTTAATCTGTTATTACCATCTGTTGTGGGCTATGTAGTAAGCATTTTTTGACTAAAAACTATATTAAAGTTAGCAAGTTATTTTCCTTAAGAATTAAAGCAGATTGAAGGTTATTATAAGATCATTCTCACTTATTTGCATTCTGATATATATTCTTGGAAGTGAGAGAAGGAGTGGGGTTACTGGGAATCGTATATGGCAGGCAGCCTGTCTTATCTGTGCTTTTCAGGGGTCCCCACGGGAGGAGGTGCTGTGGGGAATGTTTGTAAGTTGTACCATGGCAGAGACAGGTTCCAAACAACTGAACTCTCTGCCTTAGTCAGACTGGACACAATGTGTCTCTCCTCTTCTTGAGATGTCCTTCCCTCACTTTCTACTGTCAAAATCCTACTTACTGTTTCAAGCCTTATCTCAAATACTGCCCTTTCCCTGAAGCCTTCTGAGTCACTGCAACTGACGTGAACACATTCCTTTTTTGAACTTCCTTTGCACTTTGTACTTTCTTTCTAATAGTTGATCTACTTTTGTATTTGCAGTTGTCTTATCTTTTCTCCTGAACTGAAATTCGTGATGGCATTGGCAATTTCTTACTCGTTTTAGTGCTGCCTCAATGTATGGCAAGGAACGTGCTTTAATAAGTATGGAATGAATTTGATCAAGCCAGTACTTCTGTCACAATCATAAACTTGACCCTGGAGGGGGAAGGGCGACAAGGAAGTTCAAGCTGGTTTTCTTACAGAAATGCTGGAAGACAGACATTTAAAGGAGGATCTAGGGGCCGGCCCGGTGACGCAAGCGGTTAAGTGCGCGCGCTCCGCTGCGGCGGTCCGGGGTTCACTGGTTCGGATCCCGGGCGTGCACCGACGCACTGCTTGGCGGGCCATGCTGTGGTGGCGACCCATATAAAGTGGAGGAAGATGGGCGCAGATGTTAGCCCAGGGCC